TTTATTTTTTTTTGAATTACCTACCATAACCAAGGCATATTATTGAGAAATTCTTCAAGATCTTGTTTTTATCATCTTACGTCTTTTAATGAAGATGTGAACATTGACAGGGAAATAGATTTGAACGAAGAAGTTTCGAAAAAAGCGCGAACGGAAGTGTGATGTAAAATTACTCATGCAAAATATATCATTAATATATATATTAATATATTTATACTTCCAGTGCATAAAAGCCAATGCAACTGTGTTAAGCTTATTTTCCTACAAATAATTTTATTTGTCTTCAAATACAATAATCAAACTAGTATCCTTACATATTTTACTTATTCTCCATTTATTTTGTGAATAAATAACAGTAATATCAGTACTATTTGTCATGTTGTTTTTTATATTGCAATTCCTGTGCACTAGAGAAGCCTAATACATACCGTAAACAGAACGTTGTAAATACACAAGTTTCTACCCTAAGAAAATAAAGTTTTGAGAGGCACACAAAAAAATTGGAAATTATAATTAAATGCATCACACAAAATGTCAACATAATATTAATCAGCATATCAAATAATCTGAATTTTTATGTTTTAATAACCCACAATTATAGAAAAAAAAAAGATCTTTTAAAACAAATGATAAAGCATTTATATGAATTTATTAGGAAAAAATTAATAAAATGTATTGCTTTAAGAAAACATAGCTTAAAGATTTCAGAAAATATTAGCACATACGCATACATACATACATATTTGAAAGATTTCAAAAAAGTTTATTTAAAAAAATCAAACTTACAAGCTATTTCAATTAACACGAACAAACCTCGTAAGAGATTGTGCATTATTAGTGTGATCTGCATCAAGTGGTCAACTTACCACTTGTCAAAAAAAGTAATATTTGCAATTACAATACTTATATTCTAATATGAAACTTAGAAGGAAGTTTCTGACGTATATAATTTTACCAAAATCCTCATATATATAAACAAGCCCTACAACAGTAATAAATAACAAGCTAGTGAATTTCTAATTAATATCTTTAAACTCTAAGACTCCAGGACCTCTGGTGGCTTAAGATATAACCTTATTCTTTAACCTGTAAATATTCTACATTACAGTTACTGTTTTATCCTAATTCTAAGCAGTCTCAGTTATTAGGTGCAGCAAATAGGACATCTTTTCCTGTTCTATAATTTTAGAACAACTAAAATAATTTAAGATGTGTTATAATAAATCCCTTTTATCCAAGTTAAGGCTATGCATCTGACTTAATGGTATTAACCCAACTAGAAAATGGTTGGTTCATTGGGTACAAATAAAAACTGATTAACAAACTTATAACAATAGTTAGTTTCTAACAACTCATAGTTTTAACGACTTAGCTGGCCTAACAAATTGTAACTATGATAATTTTCATTAACTACTTAACACCAGTCTATTACCACAAGAATTTAATGTCACTAAATTCTGTTTTTTTCACAGTGATATGATTAACTGGTTCAGTGCTCTTGGAAGATTAACTTAACCAACGAGTGTACAACAATCAAGTTAATCCAGGTGAATACTCATGGCTTCCTAGTACAGTGAACTTATTCACTCCATGAGCCAGCAAAATTTTTTGAAAAGTTTATGGACCACTAAGAATGTACAACCTACAAACAGGAAGCTTAAAGAATTCAGGTACTTGTACATAGGGTTGTAAAAACAAGTTTGAAAGGACTTACAGTTTTAATAATATGGATTCAGAACTGTTTATACACATATTTTATTTATCATTATGCGTACGTAACTTCATGCGATTGATGAAGCTCACTGAATGATTAAGAAAGGTTACAAGATTTACAAGCCTTTCTTCACTCCAATGGATTGGCAAAATCTTTTCAAAAAGATTATGGATCATTAGAAGTATATAGGCCTAATGTTGTTCCCTAACTTGGTTTCTTTAAGATGCTTTGAAGTGAAAGTTATGAGACTTATTTTGCACTGAAATTAGAAGACATTTAGTATTAATGACAAATATGCTAAGGCTACCTGCTGCCTTCTGACAAGAGCCAGTCAGCAGTACCCTACCGCCTATGTTAAAAAAGTAGTTGTTTTTTTTTACGATGCATCTAAAGCAGAGAATACTTTTTAGAATTGCGTGGATTCGAAACCTGGCTTGCCAGTTCCAAAGTAAGAAGCAAACATCACTTTTAACCCACTGCTAACATATGTTTGCACAATAAATGTCATGAAAATTGAATCTTTTAAAACCGTTAAAAAAAAAAATTCAGTAGTTAAGAGCTACTGTCCTGGTGAACACAATACTTCCTCAGAAAGCTGCCAAGTAATATATTTGGTACAGAGACAGAATCAAACAGTCTTTTCTTTATTATTAAACTCCTAAGACACCAGCAAGGCTAAAAGTCAATGACTAGCTTCTGGACTCCACTACTGGAATTTAACAGTAGATTCACAAAGAAAACTGGACAAAGTACTATACTTTAACAATAAGTTGTGTGTAAAAAGCTACTGTTGTTCGAACATAAGCCTCAAGTTAATATTTTGGGGTCAATTACAAATTTTCCTGATCGATGAACTCACTAGATTCACTTTACAGTTGATTCAGCTCTAATGTTAATGTGAATCACTCGAAGATGAAAAGTTTACAAATTGTCTCAAATTTGGTCGAAGTAAATCATGACAAACTCAAGGAATAGTATGGTTCCCCCCCCTTTTTTTTTACATATTTCTGCCACAAACATTTATATAATTAAAAATAAAAGGGTCGGATCATAGCTTTGATGCTGTATGTTCCACAGAATGACAAAAAAAATGCAGTAAAAAGTAAAAATACTTTTCCATTAAGAATGCAACACACACACACACTCTTAAAGCTGAAGAGTCATATCAGCTGCAAAATGAACCACAGCCGGTTCACAAGGAATTCTATGTTTCACAATGAACAATACCTCATTTTGGGATAAAATAAAATTTGTAGAAATGTTTTCTGTAAATTGCTTTAATTCAGTACACTTTAAGTTCATCTAAGAAAATCCTACCGAGGCCGACTATTTACAAACACTGAGTGCAAGGGTAGCTCACATACAATCACTTAACATGACGAAACTCATGCAGGAACATCGATAAGCAACACCTTTCTTTAGGATCACACAAGTAACGATATAACACGAAATTTTCTAAGTCTACAAATCCTTTTAAATAGCACTTCAGATAAAAAAAATTGAGTCTTTGTGCAAGTAAAGACAGAAAATAATGATACCATATTTATAAAAATTCAATTATTTAACTTAAAACTTGGAAAACAAAACCCGTGCAAAAATATTTTCACAAGCATTTGTTTGTCACAATAAATCTGTACCTCTATCAAACTGTAATAACTTATCTGCTTAAAGTAAACTAAAAATTCAACTAAAGTCATTTTAAATATATTTCTTTAGTTCAACTATACACTTCCAATATAAACTGCAAGTTGAGACACATTATATTCCTACCTGACAGAAAGCTTTCTAAGATCACTAGAAATAAATTAATGTCTCGAAAATTCAAAGTAAATGAAGCCAGTTAAAAGCATGATGTGTGTAACAATCCAGTCAATTATACAACTTGTTATTACACTAATAAAAATAAACTGTCCAGCTAAAGACCTTGTGAAACAAGATGATTCAACCAATTACAGAATTTTAGAAACCAGCTGAAAGCACGGATTCCAAAAATCAGACTAAAAAAGAACAATCCTACTAATTACAAAACATGTTAAGCTCAATAGACTGACGTCAATAATATTATCTAACAATTTTTGTAACAAATCATACAAAAGAAGGGAGTCAAGTGTCAAACAGATTATTGTAATTTACCGATCTTTTATTATGATAAATTAGAAAAGATGTTGATGATCAACCTACTAAAACAAGAAATCAGACCTTACTGTCTGGAAAAACAACCGTAATTAAGACATGAAAATGTCTAGTTTTTCTACGAAAACCACTTGAGAAAAAAAAATGAATCTAGGTTTTGTGTTTTAAAAATAAATTTTAAAGTTTTCTTTTCAAGTCAATCTGACACACACCAATCATTGTTTTCATTAGTAATTTCTTTAATAACAAATATAACCCACTAAAAACATAATGTGAGTCGCTCCAAATTAACATGAAAAAAAAAGTAAAGCTTAAAGCAATGTTAATTGAGATTTAAAGTTACGTTGTTCATATAATTGAGTGTTTGCGACATGAAAATACACAATCATTTAAAGAAAACTAATCTTGTATGACCATGCACACTGTAAAACTTGCATCATAATCTGAATTAATTCAACTGGAGTTCAAACATAAATACACACAAGTATTTTATGGAAAAATTTCCTTTGTTTAAATCTCTACTCAACTGTTTCACACCATTACGTTTGTTCGGAAATCTCTAGACAACTGTTTCACACCATTAAGTTTGTTCCGAAATCTCTACACAACTGTTTCACACCTTTACGTTTGTTCGGAAATCTCTACACAACTGTTTCACACCTTTACGTTTGTTCGCAAATCTCTACACAACTGTTTCACACCATTACGTTTGTTCAGAAATCTCTACACAAGTGTTTCACACCATTAAGTTTGTTTGGAAATCTCTACACAACTGTTTCACACCATTACGTTTGTTCGGAAATCTCTACACAAGTGTTTCACACCATTAAGTTTGTTTGGAAATCTCTACACAACTGTTTCACACCATTACGTTTGTTCGGAAATCTCTACACAAGTGTTTCACACCATTAAGTTTGTTTGGAAATCTCTACACAACTGTTTCACACCATTAAGTTTGTTTGGAAATCTCTACACAACTGTTTCACACTATTAAGTTTCTTCTGTATCTTTGTGTTATGATTAAAGAGAAAAATGGCATTCATAATATGGAAGACAGGTTGATTTTTAGTCTCACTCTAAATAGGTAATTTGCTCCGACTGAAGTCGTGGTGATCTTTTAAACTGCACAAGTAATTTAAACTCAAGAGACAGGGAAACGGGAGACTAGCAAAAAAAAAATCACACATTTATAAGAAAATGTATGTTTTCATGACATCCATGTACATCACTGATAATGCACACTTTCTTATACAAAAACCTCCAGAGGTCACTAATGATGAAGAAAAAAAGAAAAACGGCTAATGTAATAAACAATTAAGTTAAAAATTTTAATTTACTACAAGCTTAATCTAAAATTAATCATAGTCTTCCCATTCGCAAACAGTTGGCTCTGCTTCAGCCTCGTAGGTGGAATCGTGCTTGGCTAGGATTCTAAGCAGAGGACGGAGCTTCAGCCACCACTGGTGAGTAGGGATTCTGTGTCTAAAATACATACACACAAAGATAGTGTGATGATTAGTCTGGTATCACAGAAAATTACATGCCTATTAACTTTAAATAAAAAGTTTTACTTTTGGTCATTATTTGGAACAGACAATCAAACAAGCTAGTATAGTTAGCCAACTATCAGTTTTTGTATGATTAAGTAACAAAGATATCCCGATTTTTTAGCACAACTGAATGATGTCCTTATTGTAGACAAAATAATGTTTATTCAAACAAACGATAACTGTGAATATAAAGACTGGGATAATGGTGAGCTACAAAACCAAAGTTATTGAAGTAAATACAAAAAAAATATTATAAAATCAGAAAAACAAATATAAAAGTACATCATCTGCAAGTCAAAACAGATGAAATTACTTCCTAGTCATCAGCAGAGAGCAGACTCGTGATATGTATTCAATTTTGTCTATTACTATCATATTAAACATGTTTTCTATCTTTGTGTAATAACAGTAATTAGACTCTTTTTGTTAAACTTCACTCAAACAATAGAGAATAGCAGCATTGTTTCCTAATATTTTTTAATTAAAGTTTTGGTCACTCAGATAAAAATGTTTAATGTAACTATACAAAGGTTATTTATTAGCTAGACATAGATTTGAAATGATTTTTTCAAGCTTTATTCTGAGCCCCAATAAGATAAAAATGTTTAATGTAACTATACAAAGGTTATTTATTAGCTAGATATAGATATGAAATTATTTGTTTTCAAGCTTTATTTTGAGCCCCAACAAGACTGCTGTTAGATTTCTATTTTTTTTTTGTTTTAATTTGAATAGGAAATTACATTTTGATCTTCTTGACAGGTGACATAATATCAATTATTTAAATGTTTATTACAGAAAGTAAAATAAAACTTCAGTAAACATAAAAACACATGTAATAACAAAACATATTTCCAAGAGACTATTTTCCTTGTGTTTAAGAACTCCACGATACGAAGAAGGAACAAACTTTAGGCATGCTAACAAGAATTCACTTAATGTAGAAAATTGAAACACCAGGCCAGTGCTATGTCCTAATACCAGACAAATAATGTAATTCAAAACTTATTACAGACACAAAATTATTATGTGCAAGACTTAACCTAACGTGTACCACGCAGTTTCATAACAGACTTACTTGAAGTCCGTGATACTTTTGAGGGTTTGTACTGGAGTAAAACGATACTGTCGTCTAACTAGGCCTAGAAGAACAGCCGTTTCAGGTTCTGAACATGCATTTGGATTATCGGTCTTACTGCCTTCTTTGAGACGACTGATTAGCCACTCAGCAGCTTTAGAGGCCATCTTGGTAGCAACATTGCGATCAAACGGTGAAGGACTTCCACCCTGTAGAGTGTGTAGAAGATATTTATGTAAGGATATAAAATTATTTTATCTTTTAAAAGTCTACAGTGACTAATAACTGTATAATACAAGTATGAATACACAGGGACGTATCAAAAATCACCCACTACTTAACATGAAGTATCCATATGTATTAATCCAATTTATCTTCAACACTATTTAAACTAAGCTTCTCCAGACTTTATCCAGTAATTTTGGGCAAAAATCTACTCCTAAATCTGACACCATTCCCTACTACGAGCTTTATCAGAAGTAACTGATGTGACTCAAAATAATCATTCTTATTGAGAACTTGGTAATACAGACAACACGGAACTGAGTACATTCATTCTTAGTGAGAACTCGTTAATATAGACAACACGGAACTGAGTACATTCATTCTTAGTGAGAACTCGTTAATACAGACAGCACGGAACTGAGT